CAGGAATGAGGCCATCCTACCATTATGTCAGTGTAGACCACGAAGGGAGTCAGAACAGTTAGCCCTGCCTAGAAGGAACAAGGAGACCATTGCCCTTTGGGTGTCACCAGAGATCAAGTAGAGAGTCCAGACCTCCACCTCTACCTGGCAGTAACGTGTAGCATCTCTCCTCTCCTGCCACAGCAGTGTCATAAACAGCAACCAAATGTGAAAGTTTACATGAGATTGGAGTCTCAATACATCGTACAAAAAATCTAGGTTTTGAGCAAAAATCACTTGTTATACCAAGAACCAAGGTCTCTGAATGAAACACTGAATGAAAAGGTGAACAACGGATGTCAACACCAGATGACACCGATGTTAGAATTATCTCATAGGACCAGTAGATGATGCAGGGGTTACCGCACATAATCAACCACGGTTCAAGTCCTGGACCTGGTGGCTTAAAACTCATGCTGGGTGCGTTTGCGTGAATGCCCAAAATCCCAACAGGAGAATGGAGGAGAAGGGACTGCAGTATGGCCATCCCCCCGGGGCGTGATTTCTCACTTTCTAGCTCTCTGGCAAGCACATGTGCCCTAAAGAAAAATCTCTCTCTCAAAAAAAAAAAAAAAAAAGAAAAAGAAAAGAAAAGAAAAGAAAAAAAGGAATTATCTGACAAAGATTTAAAGATGGCATTATAAAAAACGTTCCAACAATCACAAACATGGCTTGGTCATGTGGCACAGGTGTCAGGGTGCCACTGTGTAAGGCTGGAGCCACAATGGCGGCCCAGTTCAGGTTCCAGGTCAACCTGAACATATCCACCATGGTTCTGGCTGGCTGGGAGGCCAGCAACCAAAAGAAAGCAGATGTGACTATATTAATATCAGATAAAGTAAACTAAACAACAAAAGAAACAAACAAACAAACACGGAGAAGAACAGTACATAATAATAAAAGGATCAAGGCCAGCAGGTGGCATGGAGATTAAGATTAAGATTAGGTGGCATGTTCTTTGACTCAATGGAACCAGATACTGGTAACAGAAAGACAACAGGAAAAATCTCCAAACATTTGGAAACTAAACGACACACTTCCTAATGATCCATGGGCCAAAGAGAAAGTCTAAAGGGTAATTTTAAAAGAAAGAAAAAACTATACTGAACTGAAAGCAAATGAAAATACAACAAGTCAAAATATATAGAACTCAGCTAAAGCAATGATGACAGGGAAATTAATACCATTACAGGCATACATTAGAAAAGAAGAAACCAGGGGCCAGCAGGTAACATAGTGGTTAAGGCACTGGGACCCACAGGGCCAACTGCATGGTTCAAATCCCAGACCCACGGGCTTAAAAAACACACCAGGCACATGTCTGTGTTCATGCCCAAAATCCCCAGAGGAGGATGGAGAAGGGACTGCAATACAGCCAAATGGTTTCTCTTTCTCTTCTACTCTCTTTCTCTCTTTTTAGAGAGATTTTTGCTATGGGGAGTATGCACTCACCACAGAGACAGAAAGCGAGAAATCACCCCCCAGGGGGATAGCCACACCCCAGTCCCTTCTCCTCCATTCTCCTCTTGGGGTCTTGGGTACATAAACACACATGTGCCCAGTGTGAGTTTTAAGCTGCTGGGTCCAGGCCTCAAACCACGGTTGACTATATGGGAGTCCAGCAAGGTGACCGTTACACCATCTGCTAGTCCCTCTCTCTCTCTCACTCTCGTTCTCTCTCTCCAGCAAGAGCATGTACCCTACAGAAAACTTCAAGAAAAAAAAAATTCACCCCCAAGGAGGAATGGCCACCCCATAATCCCTTCTCCATTCTCCTCTTGGGATTTTGGGCACGCACGCATATGCACTCAGCATGATTTTCAAGCCACCAGTCTGGACTCAAATCATGGTCATCTATGTGGGAATCCAGTGCCCTAACCACCACACCACCTGTTGGCCCGGCATGAGTTTAAGCCACCGGGTCCAGGATCGAATAGCAGTCAACTACATGGGAGTTCAGCAACATAGCCATTACACTAACTGCTGGTCCCAACAATGTTAAAATTCTTAAAAGACTGCCAAAAATACATCCAAGCACTAAGATTTTAAGGAGCCTAATATGGAACAAGTTTAAGTCATTTGAAACCTTTTTATCTTTCTAAGTTTATTTGAAATTTGAACTCAACACATTATAGACTTTAACTTTCTTAATACAAAAGTGATTAGTTTGAAATTACTCCACCATAGGCATGCTTACAAAAAATACTTGTTTATCCCAAGCTTTACAAATGCTACACTATACTGCAATGGAGCTGCTCCCTAATAAGAGCATTTGTACACATTTCTGTTTTACTCTCAGTAGGGAATCTCAAATTATAACATCTTAAAGTGGCATGCATAAAGACTTAAGATAAAGATTCCCTAAAATGGGAAACCAGCAGTTGGCATAATGGCTATGTCTCTGGACTCCCATGTAGTCAATTCCCATGTAGTCAATTCCCATGGAGTTTGAGTCCCGGACCCGGTGGCTTAAACTCACGCCAGGCACATGTGCGTGCATGCCCAAGATGCTGAGAGGAGAATGGAGGAGAAGGGATTGCGGCATG